ATAAAAGAAGCTAGCTTTCTTTTCAGTAGTTTTGAGAAGTACTAAATGTATACATTTTAGTTCTTTAACTGTCAGCCTGTTGAGCCTTTTCAACATATGAGTCACTTGCATTTAGTTTATCGGTTTTTTTTTGAGGGGTAGGGCCACATTCAGCATTGCTCAGGAGCTTCTCCCAAGTCAGTGCTCCCAGCAGTGCTTAGGGCACCATGTGGTAATGAGGATTAAACCAGAACTTTCATTTAAAAAGCGTATGTTCCAGACCTCTGAACCATCTCCCAACCCCATTTTCTTGGAGTTTTTAACTACCATCCAGCGTATGCCCATTGCAGTTGATTATAAATAAAGCTTTATCTCTAACATGTGTTTTCTATTTGTCCCACTTTTGCGGTACTCGTCTTTTTTTTTTTTTTGCTTTCTTTTATTAAAGCATTGAGTTTTATTTGAGTTGTTTCCCTCTCTTCTAGTAGTTTGAAAGTTGTATACACTGTTTCTGTTCTTTAAATATTTGCTCTTGAAATTTTATCATAAGTGAAGTTTCCCTAAACGATTTTTGAACAAGTCTCCTTTGACCATCTGCTTCCTGATTTTCATGCCATTGCTAGCAAGCGTTTACTTCTGTCTTTTCAATCCCAGGAACTAAATTTTATTACTTGAGGTTGGTGATGTTTGCTTATGTGTATCCTCGTATTTACTTATTTTGTTTGCTTATAATTCTTTTCCATATCCCAGACCGTCCACACATAACATTTGCTATTGTGTTTTTAAACTATATCCTTATAGTGTAAACAATATCCGCCTAAAGCTTGTTCATTCCTTTCGTGAGTCTGTTGTAGATTTGTTTCACAGTTTTTGTTTATGTGGAAAAGCTTTTGTTTTGCTTTCATATTTTGAGAGGTAGTTTTGACGGTTTACATTCCTTGTGTGTTTTCACCAAAGCCAAGCAGTCCACTGCATTCTGGCCCCACCTAGGGAGACCATATCTGCTCCCATGAGTTAATGCTCCCCATTTCTGGTGCCAACACCAGTCCAGATTATTGCTTGACAGTAAATTGGAGGTTACCACAGCATCTTTCTTGGGTTTGGTGAATTTGGGGCTAGGGCAATTCACAGGACTTATATCCATTTACGAGTTCATCATGGAGGAGGAGATGAACGTTGTGGGAGTGAGGCATAGAAGGGTGAGTTCTACTTCTCTAGAACTAGGCAGAACTTCTGGGCAACTAACCCAAAACCTTCCTAACCTAAAAGCTCAGCAGCTTTAGTTGCTTAAGAGTTTTGTTTGACTTGAAGTTTTGATGCCATAATCGAGCCCAGGGCCTCACACATGCAAAGTAAATTCTCAACAGCTGGGCCACATCCCAGCACCTGACCCCGCCAGATGGGTGGGTGAGACTGAAGGTTGCGGCCCTCAAATAATGTGGTGACTTGCCTCATTCCAGCCTATGTAAGGATCCCATTTTAAGTCACCTCAATAGGATAAACTTGGAGAGTCAAAATTAAAGCTTCTTCTGAAACACAAATAACATTGCTTTCATACTGAAAATTCTAAGGGTTTTAGAAGATTTGTCCCGGGGACCTGGTCACTGTCACTGTCACTGTCCTCCCGTTCATCGATTTGCTCGAGCGGGCCCAGTAACATTGTGAGACTTGTTACTGTGTTTGGCATATCAGATATGTCATGGGTAGCTTGCCAGGCTTTGCCATGTGGGCGAGATACTCTCAGTAGCATGCCGGGCTCTCCGAGAGGGGTGGAGAAATCGAACTCTGTTTGGCCATGTTGGCTGCATGCAAGGGGACCTGGTAATGACTAAATATATTTCTTACAGCAACAGGCTCTGGTTTTGTGGTTGAGACATTGTCAATCAGACTTTCTTTCTTTTGTGTGTTCTGTCTTTTCTCTTGGACACCTTTTCTTCTCTTTGCTTTGGATATTCTTCAGTTTCATTGCAACGTCTAGGTGTAGATATCTTATTACTTTACTTTGTTTAGATTCTTAGTCATTATACCTTCAACTGTTGCCTTCTCTCTATTCTTTCTTTTCCTTTAAGATTCTAATCTCACATTCCCTGTTGTAACTATTCTTTCTCTCACTTTTTAAAATTATCTTCTATTATATTACATTCCTATTCTCTCTTCAAGTAACTTCCTCAGACTTCCACTTCAGTATACCATTTATCTAATTGGCTGCATAAACCCTGGGATGGAGGCATTTTGTCTTTAGTTTAACGATTGAATTTTGTAGGCCAGAAGATAGTACAGGGATTTAGATTCTTTTTTTAAAAAAAATTTTATTAGTGAAACACCATGAAGTACAGTTGTAGACTTACAAATTTTTGTGCTTGGATTTCAATTATACAATAATCAAATACCCATACCTCCACTAGTGCCCATTTTCCACCACCACAGGTCCCAGTATCCCTCCCACCCCCCATTCCCCCCACCCATCCTGCCTCTGTGGCAGGGCATTCTCTTTTGTTCTCTCTCTCCTTTTGGTTGTTGTGGTTTGCAAAAGAGGCATTGAGTGGATTTAGATTCTTGGCTGGAGCGATAGCACAGCGGGTAGGGCGTCTGCCTTGCACGCAGCCAACATGGCCGACCTGAGTTCGATTCCTCCACCCCTCTCGGAGAGCCCGGCAAGCTACCGAGAGTATTCGATATGCCAGACACAGTAACAACAAAGTCTCCAATGGAGACGTTACTGGGCCCACTTGAGCAAATCGATGATCAACGGGAGGGCCTTTACTTTACTTTGCTTGCAGCCAACTCTGGTTTGATCGCTGGTACTGCTTGTGGTCTTCTGAGTACCACAAAGAGTGATCCCCAAACATAGCTAGGAGGTAGCCTAAGCACAACCAGGTGTAACCCTCCCCCCCCACACACACACAGACACACATACGTGCGCACACACACACACAAAGTATAATAACAACCAACCTTTTCAAGTTGTTTTCCTATTTTAAAGTTTAGTCAATCATTTTCAAATCCAGTTGGTCATTGTCAACGTCTCATAGTCCACTTCTGTGAGTTCATCTTTTTTTTTTTAATTTATATTAGTAAAACACCATGAGGTACAGTTGTAGACTTACAAATTTTTGTGCTTGGGTTTTGATTATACAATGATCGAGTACCCATCCCTCCACCAGTGCCCATTCTCCACCACCAGTGATCCCAGTATCCCTCCCACCCCCCATCCCTCTCATCACACCCTGTCTCTGTGGCAGGGCATTCCCTTTTGTTCTCTCTCTCCTTTTGGGTGCTGTGGTTTGCAAAAGAGGCATTGAGTGGCAATCATGTTCGATCTATAGTCTACTTTCAGCATGCATCTTTTAATTCTTTATGTATTTGACAGTTTTTGCTTTCTTTATTCAGTTGTTCTAATAGTGGGTATCTTGAAAATAATCACCAGGGGCTGAAGTGATAGTACAGAGGGTAGGGCGTTTGCCTTTCATGTGGCCAACCCAGGTTTGATTCCCAGCATCCTATATGGTCCCCTGACCACTACCAGGAGTAATTCCTGAGTGTAAAGCCAGGAGTAATCCATGTGCATCACCGGGTGTGACCCAAAAAGAAAAAAAAATAATCACCATTTTTTGTTTCTGCTGATGCCTATTCATGTGATTTTTGTGAGCCCGCATTTGGTTGATGTTTATCTGTGGGCATCTAGGAAGCCTGCATCATCCAATTGGCTGCATAAACCCTGGGTTATTTTTAGTTTAGTTCTTTTAGTTTTAGTTCTTCATTTTTTCCCTCCAGACACAATTTGTATTTATGTCCAGCAGATTGAGAGCTCCCTCCACCTCCACCTGGGGTCCTGGTTTAATAGGATGCCTTTGGTTCGGTTCTTCCGTTTTCCTTTGACCCAACAGCGTGTTGAAGTTGGCGGCTTTCTTCGAAGAAATCCCTCCTTACGGTCTTCTGTGATGATCCTCCCCACCACTCCATTGTGAATTAAATTCACTTTCGGGGAAGGACAATATTTTGAAGAGTTCTCCTTTTTTCCATGAATATCTATTTTAAAACTGTGCTTTATGAATGAAATAAAAGAGACAATGGCCAATAAAAACAAACCCTTAGATTTTTGACCACAGACTCAATGTTATGGTTGTGTTAACCCGAGGGCCCAAGGTCTCACGGGCTAATTTCAATATGAAAAATTGAAAAACACCCATTCTCGGATGACATTTTCTTTTGGAAAATTCCTGCCCCACCCCACATGTATTAATTTGGTTCCTCTATAAAAGATAAAGGCCACACAAGAAGAATAATGCTTCTGAGTTTTCGGGCATGTAAAGAAACAGTCCTATCCATGAATTCAGCCAATATGAAAAACACCCATTCTCAGATAACATTTTCATCATTTTTTTTTTTTTTTTGCTTTTTAGGTCATACTTGGCGACACACAGGAGTTATTCCTGGCTCTACACTCAGGAATTACTCCTGGCAGTGCTCAGGGGACCATATGGGATGCAGGGAATCAAATCCAGGTCGGCCGCATGCAAGGCAAACACCCTGCCCACTGTGCTCTCACTCCAGCCCCGGCATTTTCTTTTTTGAGGATGCATGTGGGAACCTGTGGCACCCAAAAGAGGGAAGTCAGGGGAGCAGCTGGAGAAGCCAGTGGGCCATGAGTGTTAACCTCCTGAATTCTCCCCTTGCCTGCTGCCATCCTGGAGGGCCCCACCCCTGCTCCCCTGCACTCCCAACCACAGTGGAGCAAGTGGAAAGGGCCAGAAGAGGGGGGGACAGGTTTGCCATCTGAACAGGGAATGAGGAAAAAGCAGGACATCTGTTTAAGGACAGCAGCTTTTCAGACCTTGTACCACTTACAATCACACACCTCTGCCTGGTTGAAAGGTCACCATTTTTTAAGTTAAGGTTAAAGAGAAAGATGGGCCAAGAAGTTGTGAGGCTTCCCAGTTTTCTTCCTAAGGTTGTGCTCAAGTTAAGCCCTTCTCACCTACCTCAGAGTAACCCGTGCTGTTTATTTCGTGTCTTTCCAGATCAATGAACTGAGCCATGTTCAGATCCCTGTTATGTTGATGCCAGATGACTTCAAAGCCTATTCAAAGATAAAAGTGGACAATCACCTCTTTAACAAGTAAGTACAAGCACCACCTTTTATAGTACTGGCGAGACTGCCAGAAGTATGATTTTTGTGTGTGCGAGAATCTATAATCACATTATTTTTCAATGGGTAGGAGTAAAGTTTTGCTGATGAAGTTAATCCTGTGATAAACATAACCATCTGTCATTTTCAGAAAAGCAGCAGCAGCTCTCCTGGGTAATATCCCTTAGCCATATGGCATATTATTCTCGATGAATATCTTATATGTTAAAAGTGATATTCTTGTTACAATTTAAATGTTTGAAGCTGTAAATTGACTGGGCTTGGAAGCAGCTCTGGACCTCTGCTGTGGCATCCAGACCTCTGATAATCATTGGTTCATGAACAGAAATGACTGCTCCTTGGTCATTTGAAGTAGCCTGTAGAACAAGAAAGGGACAAAAAGAATTGAAAGGATTTTTTGTTTGTTTGTTTGTTTGTTTTAATTAAAGCAATTGAATGCCATGTTGCACTTGGAGACTATTTCTCCATATTTATTTTGTCTGGGAAACATTATGACAAACCTGGTGCTAGGTAGTTTTAAAGAGCCAGAAAGAAAGTAATGTATGAGACAGGGCCTGTCCTCAGGGGGCTTACTGTCATGCAGGTGGTTGGAAACGAACATATATCATACAAATTAGAATCTGGTGGACAAGGTACCACAGTTGAGGTAGGCGTGTGTGCATGTGTGTGTGTGTGTGTGTGTGTGTGTGTGTGCACTTTTGTGTATGGGTATCTGTGTTTCTTCAGGAATACAAGGGAGGAAACGGTTCTAAGTGGGTGAGAAGAGCAAGAGGTCCTTTCTGCTAGAGGATCCATTACAGAACTCAGGGATAGAGTCATTGATTGTTCTAGGAGCCGATGCTCTCAAAAATTCACCTTATGATCCTAATTAGAAGCTGACCTTTGGGGGGAGATTGTTTCTGTGTGAGTTTTGCATCTATTTCTGTAAAAATAAAAAAAAATTAAAAAATAAGAAAAAGAAATAGGTCATTCAGGGAGTGGGAGAGAAACTTTGACTGTAAGCCTTCATCATCAAGTCACGGGATGTATGGCCATGCGGCTCCCTCTGCTGCCCTTCCAGAACTTTCTAAGTTCTTTACATCTTCCACCATTACCTTCCACTTCGCCTCTTCCCACCTCTGTTTTACTGGCCAAACAGCTACCATATATGGTCAGGAATAAGAAGATCCTTGGACCAAATGTTCCTAGGTAGAGGCATCTTCTGGTATCTGCCTGGCCCCTGCTCTATGTGTGTATGTTGGCCTCTAGTGCAATGTTCTGCAACCTTTTTACGCCAGCAGATCAGATCTGTGTTGCATGGGGGTCCATAAACTGGCTGTTAGAACCAAGGTTTTTACCCTTTGTACACCTGTGAACTGGTGGTGTTCCCAGACTGTTAAAGAACTCTGCCCTGCGGGGTCCTAAGCAACATACGGGGGGCTTGGAATACAGGTTCCTCTTTGGCTGCAGGTGTTTTAGTAGTTGCTTTCTGCTTCAGGATGATTTCACTCTGTATGTCTGATCTTTGTTCCACATTGTGACTGTTTCAGAGAAAACATGCCGAGCCATTTCAAGTTTAAGGAATACTGCCCAATGGTTTTTCGTAACCTGCGGGAGAGATTTGGAATCGATGATCAAGATTTCCAGGTGAGTTGCTTTCATAATATTTGCCCCACATGAGTCCCATGTGCTCCATAAAGTGGGATTTATATTTTTGGGTCACCACGCATGAATTACTGAATAGTGGCTTTCATGTCCTGAGAATGTCCCAACATTCTTTCTGACATGCCGGGTTCTCTCTGGTCATCTCTCACTGGGACCTCCTGGTGCTGTGATTTCAGCCAGGCATTCAGTGGGGAAAATAGTGTTGTGAAGGAGACACCCAGTTCTGCCTCACCCCCTCCTCTTTGGGTGAAAGTGTCCCACAGCCGGCTTTCCTAATTCCCGCTGACCACAGGGCCTTAGGAAATACATGTGTCGAATTCATGCTCTCTGTGTTTGTGGAGTCACTTAGGAATCTCAAAAATGTATTTTGTGCTCCTGCTGATTTGCTGCTTTTTCTCTGTCTGGCACCCAGCCCCCAACCCAACCCCCCCAACTCATACCCACAGAATTTTAGTCAAACGCCACATGTGGGTCAGTGCAGTGCAAGTGGCCTGGAGACCCCAGCTCTCACATCTGCATTAGAGCCCCCATTCTGGGATGATGCTCATGGTGCATATCACTATCAGGGGCACTGGCTAATGTGCCCTCATATTGTCCTGACTCTTGGCTTTGGCTCTGAAGCCTGGTGGAGCTGTCATATGACGCCTCACCCGGCAAAGCACAGGGGTTACTCCTGGCTCATGCACTCAGGAATTACTCCTGGCAGTGCTCAGGAGACCATATGGGATGCTGGGAATCAAACCCGGATTGGCCGCATACAAGGCAAATGCCCTACCCGCTGTGCTATCACTCCAGCCCCAAGCACCTAGTTTTTAAAGAACCCAGAAGTGGGAAGGGAAGCCAGTAATGCTTAGTGAATATTTCTGCTTTGGTGCTTGGGGGGTCCATGTGATACTCGAGGTCAAACCTGGCGTTCTTGCTTGTGAAGTACATGTTCCAATCCTTTGAACTGTCTTCTTAGTAATCAGTGGAAATCTTAGTCAGGAAATGCAAGGGTCCCTTTCTGATCTTCAACCCCATCTATTCATTTTATGGCCAACTTATTTACTCTAAAATGCTTCCAGGTCTGCACTTCCTCTCATTTGCCCTAAATGGGAAATCCTTGTTTATCGGGCATTAAGTGCCATTTAGCTATACTGGGTGACCTGGCAAATTAAATCTTGGCACAGTTGCCTCTCTGTTTTCTTTTTTAGTTTTGGGGCCACAGCTGGAAGTATTCTAGCCCTGTGTTTGGGAGAAACCATGAGTGCGGGGGTTCCATCAGGGTCAGCCACCTGCAGTGCCTTAACCTCTGTATTCTCTTTCTGTCCCACCAAAGGATAGACTTTCTATTTTGTTTTGGAGTCATGGTGCTTAGCAGAGTCCCGCCCTCACTGCTGTTCTCCGGGGTTGCTTCAGTGTTTGCAGGACCATGTGGTACCAGGGATGGATTCTGGCCCTCATGCATACAAAGCACACTTTGCAAACACTCTGTCCGTTGAACTGTTCCTTCAGCCTGTGGTTTACTTTAAAGAACAAGGTTCCCTGTGCAAATAGAGATTAGGACAGATCCCTAAAGATTTGCGGACCTCCCAGCCATTACCCTAACCTTGCGGAAAGTTTCTAAGAATTTCTCACTTTCTCAGATAGGCAGAAGACTCCAGAAACAGTACTGGCCAGGGTGCAGTCGGCCTTCCCTCCGCAGGGACCATGGTGAGGTTGCCAAGTGCTGAGTTGTTACTTAGGGGGGGGGGGGGGGTGTCACAGAGGATGTGTGCACTCAAGTTTACTCTGTAAACTTCAGTGGTGCCAGTGGTTAGGTATCTGGGCTTCATGTCAAGAGAGAAAGAATTTCATTCAAACTTAACAAATGTAGCATTTACTTCTGGAAGAAATTTAGGTGGTTTTGTTTGTTTGTTTAATTAAAAGCACTATAGCATTGTCCTCCCATTGTTCATCGATTTCCTCGAGCGGGCACCGGTAACATCTCCATAGTGAGACTTGTTGTTACTGTTTTTGGCATATCAAATACATCACAGGTAGCTTTCTAGGCTTTGCTGTGTGGGTGAGATACTCTCAGTAGCTTGCCGGGCTCTCCGAGAGGGGCAGAGGAATTGAACCCGGGTCAGCTGCATGCAAGGCAAACATCTTACCCACTGTGCTATTGCTCCAGCATTTAATTTTTTAAAAAAATTAATTAAAAATTGTTATTGCAGTGTCAGGACTTGGGCTGGAGCGATAGCATAGCGGGTAGGGTGTTTGCCTTGCACACAGCCAACATGGCCGACCCGAGTTCTATTCCTCCGCCCCTCTCGGAGAGCCCGGCAAGCTACCGAGAATATCTCGCCTGTACAGGCAGAGCCTGGCAAGCTACCCGTGACGTATTCAATATGCCAAACACAGTAACAACAAGTCTCATGATGTAGACGTTACTGGGCCCGCTTGAGAAAATCCATGAACAACGGAAGGACAGTGACAGTGTCAGGACTTGAACCCAGGGCCTCACACCTGAGAGGCATGTACTATCTCCCCATGCCACTCCACAGCCCTAAAAATCAATTGGGGAACCAGAGAATCAGAGAGAGAGTACAGTGAGTAGCACGTTTGCCCTTGCGAAGAGCTGACCTGTGTTCAATCTCTGGCACCCCTCGTGGTCCCTTGAGTCCTACCAGAGTATTCCCTGAGTGCAGAGTCAGGAGCAAGCCCTGAACACAGCCAGGTGTGACCCCCAAACAAAAAACTCACATTACATTTAGACATCAGTACATTATTAAACAGTTGATAACTTTACCACCCTAAAAGAAAGTGTCCTTTGTCTAACTCATGTAGAACTCAAGTGGATTCCTTCCTTTCTGTCCCTTGTTTAAAAAATAAATCAAACAGTCCCCTGTTATTTCCTAGGACTTTTAGGGATGCCCGCCCCCCACTCCACTTTTAGTACTGTCATGAAGTCCTCACGTTTCTTCCCAGAGTCAGTGCTGTTCAATGAGATCTCAGCAATCTCAGCCTTCTCCATTTCAGAAGGCAACAGTCATTTTCGAAATTTCCTAAAATGACCAGTTCTGTTGCAGGACTGCTGCGGCCTAAGGAGGGCTTCTTCCCCAAGCCCCTTTCCCCCCTACTGAAAGTGAAGGCTGTGTAAGTTGATATTTAAGTAAGTGCAAATTGCTGAGTACAAACTTTGAAGGCACATTAAGCGAGTGGAGGATGATTCACAAGGAACTAATTGGCAAGTCTGTTAAACTCTTAGCGTGAGCGATCAGACTAGGAGAGAGCAGTGTGAGTGTAATTAATCATTTGCACACCACTCCTTTCCTTAGCTAGCCTGGTGCTTTTGGCATTTAAATGACTGCTTTCTCTTCAGCAACTGTATTTCTATTTTTCAAAAAAGGCTGGGGGTAAAGGGGCTGTTCACAGTAACTTTAATAAACCAGAGCGAAACTGGCTTCCTCTACTGTGCTGTGCTTTTCTCCATAGCCTGCACCCCTTAAAATTTTTGCCGCGAGGGCAAGACCTCTGAATTGAAACTGAAGAGCAGATCATGAATCATATAGGGATTAAGGCACTTGCTTTGTACATGGCTGACTCCAGCTCGACCCCCAAGTGCTTCATGCACATGGCCCCTCCTTCCTACCCCATCACTGCCTGGAGTGATCCCTGAACAAAGATCCAGGGGTAAGCCCTGAGGATCACCAGGTGTGGCCCCAACAATAAAAATAAATGAATAAAAGATCATGGATATGGGTCAAGATCCACTTTGTTGGCTTCTTGTTGTGGGTGGTAAGGGGTGTTGTGTTGGTCCCTGCTCTGGGTCCTTGCCTGGGGAACCCCCAAGTTTCAACTGAAGGATAAACTGTGAACCTGGCAGCAAGGGCCGAGAAGCATAATCTTGGCTCCTGGCATGTGCCTAGCTCTCCATCACCATGGCAGGGACAGGCAGCCTCTGCCTATGCTTTTCCTTACGCTAGGCGGTGGCTGGGGGGTGGGTATTTCTCGGGGACCCTGGGTTGCTAATGGGTCCCAGGCTCCCACTGCTTGCTGTGTCTTGATGGGTTTCTTTTCCGAAGCATTTGCATGTTGGACAAGCCACCTTCAGTCTCCAGGGCTGTAAGGAACTCCATCATGAGCTCCAAGAAACCCAGCATGCAGGCTTTCAGCCTGCCTTGCATGGCACTAGAGAGAAACCTGGGGGGACCGCCATGACCTCCATGAGAGAAGTCACACAGGTGTGCCCCCAGCTCACTGACCTCTCAATGGATGTCAGCTTCTCCGAGCACCCCGCGAACGTGTGCTCCTTTCCTTGGTTTGGCTCTTATCAGTGTCTTTTAACAAATAAATTCCTTTCCTTGCCATTAGTGATGTAGTCAAGGGACCATTCTAGAATATTCTTCAGATCTAACAGCAGCAGCATCTGTCATACACAGGCAAACCCGTATGCAAGTGTGTGTAGATGTGCATGTGTTCTCTCTCCACTTCCAGATCCAGAACTTTCTCCAGTTCATCATTGCTCAGTAAAATGACTCCCTGGGTTTCTAAGATACTCAGAATGGGATAGTGTGCTTCTAATCAGGGTTGGGGCAAAGAAAGAAGGCTTTTTAAAACTATTACTAATTTTTTTCATTGAGACACCATGTGATACACAGTTACAAAGTTGTTCATGATTGAGTTTCAGTTATACAATCTTCAAACATCCATTTCTTTACAAAGGTACATTTCTCCACCACCAGTATCCCCAGTTTTCCTACCAGCTTGCCTCTATGCCATACAATTTTCTCCTCTCTCTTTTCCTCTCTCCTCTACCCCACCCTTTTCCCTTTTAGGCACAGCGGTTTGCAGTACTGTTACTGAAAGGGTATCCTGCATATCACTTTATTTCCCCCAGCACCCAATTTTTGTCTAGAGTAATCATTTACAACTATCATTTCATAGTGGCCCCTTCTCTGCCCTAACCTCACTCTCTACCCCACCCTCCCTTAGGGCAAACTTCCTGCCATGAGCCAGTT